CTACGGTATTCTTCTCGCACCCTCTGTTGGACTACGGTATTCTTCTCTTACCCTCTGTTAGATTGGATGCATTTGAATTTAACTAACAGTGCATGTTCGATAACATGGCGTACAAGTGGAAGCATCATATAACAGTGTGGTTTTCAATGGTAAAATCTGGGCCGTAATGGATATAATTCATTTGGCGAAAGCTTGGGCTATAAATATCAAGAAGAATCATACTACAGTAACCAACTGCAGTCGTGGCATTAACAGACTTTCGAAGTGGACAAAACCGTTGCATGGTTTTTTTAAACTCAACACCGATGGAGCTATGCACACTGGGACTATGGAGGCAACGTGTGGACAAGTTATCCGTGACCATACCGGGGCTTGGGTTACTGGTTTTAGCATAAGTTTAGGGCATTGTATAGCTTTCCAAGCTGAATTATGGGCTGTTATGGAAGGTCTTAAAATAGCTTAGAACATAGGCATTCGCGTTCTAAACGTGGAGCTTGACAACCAATAAGCTGTTATACGTCTTAATTTGGATCCCCAACTCAACGAACCTTTGCTTATCAGGAGAATTAGAGGTGTTCTCTGCCGCCAATGGAAAATCACGATCAGTTATATCCCGCGAGAAGCTAATAAGCTTGCTGATAGTCTGGCTGGACTCGCGCAAAAGAAACCTGGGTTCTCTCGTTTTTTCTGAACCATCATCGGCAGTTTAAAGAGTTTTTAATTCTTATTGTATTGCATCAGAAAACAGACCAGTCCAAAAGTTCCTAGTGGCTTCTTTTGTAAACCAAAAAAATCTGTCACGATCATATAAAAAGAGACTGTTATCTAACACGTGTCACCGTTATCTACGGAAAAGGAGCAACATGCGGGAATTTGTTGGAACCATCCACAAGTTCATACATCAATTCAGCTCCAAGCTGCAACAGATGCAAAGGTTAAAACAATAGCTCATGTACATCAAGAAGTTGAGGTACCAGAGCTTAAACAGAAGCTTAATGCGACGCTCTGCGCATGTAAATTATGCAATTATGTCACTAAGAAAAGGGGAAATGCTGCTCGTTTCCAACTCCAAAATAACTAATGATCTATAGTATTCATCGATGTTTTCAACTCCTATTTTTTTTCCAGAAACGAACCATTAAACGAACCTTAATACCACTGCTTCCTTGATGACTAAAATTGCAAGTTCATTTGAGGGTTTGGGACGATAATAAGTGATCGGCAACGAGTAGATAGTCATTTGGCGGAGTCCGTGGGAGGTGATGATCGGCAATCATAGTAGACACACCAAAACCATAATTTAACCTTTAAACAATATCACCCAATCCATCAAAGCGGAGCACATTTGTTCTGTTTTGGTTGAATAGTGGTTCTGAGATTGGGACTACGCAACACCCAATCTTCAATCTTCAATCTTCCATTGCCAGTAAAGATGATTCAAATTCATACTACCATTAAAACAAACTAAGTTCACAGTATGAACAAACGAATCATAGTAGAATTAAATTTGAAAGAAGCAAACCCCAATAATTTCTAATCACAGCATGAAATTTTTAAAACTAATAAGAAGAAATCACAGGGGAATTTAGAAAGGAGGAGGAGCTGCATAAACCAGAAAAGGTCTTCCACAAGAAGAGAATTTAGGGTCACAAATATCCTCATGGAATGTATCTTTGAGCTTGTGAAATCCATTCTTGAAGACCCCGAAACCGAACAACAACCCGATGGCCACCACCACTAGAATCAAGCAAGTGCACAGCATGCATATTCTCCCGCAACACATCCTTAAATAACAGAAAAGAACAACACTTTATGGGGTTATTTCTCTGGGGAGTTTTCAGTGATCTTGGGGTGTTTATAGAGATGAAGAAAGGGAATTATAGGGTGGGTTTTGGATCTGGAAGAGGAAAGTGAAACTTGAAAATACTTGGACGTTAGGGGGATTCAAATTGAAATCGAGGTGTCGAATGGCATAAAGGGTAGAGTTTTATTACAAGATGAGAGAGAGGGAGAGAGATTCTCGTTTCCTTGTTTGCTAACACACGGAAATTTTTTAATTTTCTTTACAAATGTTGACCTAATTCATCCATAAAAACGATGGCAAAGTGTACAACTTTGCTCGCAAAAAGGAGCTTTTCATTTGTACTTTCTAAGGTTTGGGGTTGGGTACCTTTGAGTTGTGGGATTAGGCCCTTTTTAAAGAGTTGTTTGTTCTCTGTGAGATGGGCTTTTGGCCTATTAAAAGAAAACATTTTCATGCTCAAATTTTAGCCATGTCTTCTCCCTAAACTTCTAATCTTCAATCATGGGTCAAATTCTAGTTTTTATCCCTATATTTAAGCTGTTCTTCAAATCAAGCCACTGCTTTATTATCTCAACCAGGCCGTTCCTAACTTGAAATTGCTAAGAGGACTGATATCTATGTTCTACACTTAGAATAATGTTCTTAATCAATTAACAATGAAGATATAAATATTCTGCAAACGCAATTATTCAACCCTCAAATTTCTAGGGATAATAAAACTCTCATTTATAGTTAAAATCGTTCAATAGATTCATAGAATCTATTTAATATGGACAAACGATCATATTGTTAAAACATATTGTTTAATGCTTAGAATATATATTACATTTATACATACATCTTGAATACACTTGAATCAAAGACATTAAAAGACCATGCACAACAAAGAATGAAACAATCTTGATTGTTTCTTAATTATTTTATATGAAATGAACAACAGCAAAAAGGAGAAGATGAATAAGAAAAAAGGCATGGGATCTAGAAAGGAGGAGGAGCAGCGTAAGTAAAGAAAGGCCTTGCACAATAAGAGGAATTAGGATCACAAAAATCAGCAGGCAATGCACCGTTAACCCTGTGAATACCGTTCTGGAAAGCTCCAAACCCATTCAACCACCCCATCGTAGCCGCCACCGTAGCCGCCGCTAGAATCAGGCATGTCACACACACGCATACCGGGCAACACAAAACCAACAAACCCATCTTCTCAAATCTAACAACTAAAAGCTTTATGGGGTTTTTTTTCTTTTTTCTTTTTATATGGGTTTATAAGAGTTGGGGGTGTTTATAAAGAGAGATGTGTAGGTTTTGTATAGGAGAGTGTAAAAAGTGTATAATTATAAATTTGAACATCAAAGTTTATAAAGTTAACGATTTGTTGATAATTTTGATTCTTTTTTTATACTGAATATGACTTGAATTTTTTTATTCTATGATTTTAATGGCAATGAATATTAAATCGTTAAATTTTTATAACAATAAGTGACGGTTCATATGTACTTTATTGTTGGCGTGGTAGTTAACTTTATGCATAATGATAAAATTAGTCCCTAACGATTACATAAATGGTCATTTTGTTTTCTATTTTTTTTGGATAATTTTATCCCCCATCGTTTTAAATTTTTGGTCAAAATACTCCTTGTTAGCTAGAAATTGTTTGTTGACTGACGGTTAATATATGTTGTTGACGTGATATTTTTCATAAACAATAGTTATTTGATACTCAAACGTTAGGTACTAACTTGTTACTATGCCTTAATTTTAACTAAATAGTTTTGTCTTAAGATTAAATTTTAGTTAAATTTTTATTAAAATAGTTAAGAATCAAAATTTACTTTAAAAAATTAAGGTTAAATTTAAAAAAATACAAAAGTTGAGGATTAAAATTATTATAGCACCTAAAAAAATGTTAGATAGAAGGGGATAAATAAAGTGGTGGCTTCAAAGACAATTTGAAAGAGGCAAGTTTTATAAGATTGGGAAACACATTTTTGTTTGCTTGCTCACTTCACCTCTTAACTAACTAAAATATTAAATAATCAGCCATTACACGGGAAAAAATAGGCATAATGATGCATTTAATCTCTAACATTTATCTATGTTTTCATTTTAGCTCTATTTTTTTTTGGATAATTAAGATATTATTACCCAAAATAGCAAAGTTTTGCTACAAAACAATCAACCAAACAAAATCTGCACAGCCAATACAATCAGTGCACAACCTAGACAAATCATGGTAAAAACTATAAGCCCCAAGCATTACAAAGGAAAATGTTAGTGCTATCAAGCCAATTGAAGCTTTTCCCCCTAAGGCAGAATCGAACAGCATCAAAAATTTCAGTAAACAATTGTTCTACTGATCTAGATCGAGCTTGGAAAATTCTATGATTTCTTTCCTTCCATAAGAAATAAATGAGAGCAGACCATACTATCTTTAAAATGAAGGTGATAAGAGATTTTCCTTTCCATAATGAGCTTGCTGTGTTAACCATAATATCCCAAGACAGATTTGAAGAGTTTAATCCACACTGAATCAGAACTGAATTCCATAAGCAGACAGCCATTGAACACTCAGAAAATAAATGATTCCTAGACTCTTGAGAGTTTCTGCAATTAACGCATAAAGAGTCTGTGTTAATTCCTATGATTTGCAGACGGTCTCGAGTAGGCAATCTGTTTTGAAGAGCCATCCAAACGATAAAACTATGCTTCAGAATATGCAGTGGGAACCAGATAAATTTATGTCAAGGTACTTTCTGCCCTTTAGTTCTAAGCTCTTCATAAATTTCCTTAACCGCGCATGTAACTGAATTGAGAGACATTGCTTCTGATCTCAGTTTAAAATTTCTTCTGGTACACCAGCTGACGTTTGGACCAGGTGTAGACTGCAAAAAATTTTGATCTTTAATGACATAGCTATTAACTCAAGCCACCCATAGAGAACCTTCACCAGTCAACATTTTCTTTACGAGATTAACAATACAAGCTCTATTCCAATTTTTTAGGTTCTTCAGTCCGAGACCACCTTTCGATTTAGGAAGTCAGATTTTATCCCATCTCACTCTAGCTCCAGCAGCAGGTTTGTCCAAGCCTTTCCAAAAGAATCTTGAACAGAGCTGCTCCACTTTTTTAAGTATCGAAGCAGGCAAAATAAGTTGTATGCACCAATAGTTGTTGATACTGAAAATAACAGATTTAATCAACTCAAATCTGCCAGCATAACTGAGGTTCCTAGCAGACCAATGGTGGATACTTTGCTTGATTTTATCAATAAGAGCTTTTTGTAATCTTTCTCGTTCAACTTGCGGGTGACTAGAGGAATTCCGAGATATCTGATAGGAAGTCGACCAATTTTGAAGCTAGTTATCTGTTTGATGTCGTCAATTGAAAGTGATGAAATTCCAGCATGAAATATCTCACATTTAGAAGAATTAATCTTGAGGCCCGAGCTATCTTTGAAATGGTCCAAGACACTGAGAACGCCAGCAACAGAATCAGAATTACCTTTGCAGAAAATCAAGAGGTCGTCTGCAAAGGATAAGTGAGTGAGCCCTATCTTCTTACATTTAGGATGATAACCAGATAAACCCTTACTAGCAGCCAGGTTGAGTAAACTGGATAAGACATTAATAGCAAGGACAAAGAGATAAGGGGAAAGAGGATCTCCCTACCTAAGACCACGAGCTCCTTTAAAATAACCAATCAAAGTGCCATTGAAAGATATGGAATATCTTGCTTGAGTAAAACATGCTTCAGTCTAATCGATGAATTTTTGAGGAAGATTTAAAGCTTTAAGAATAGCTGAAATAAAATCCCAATGAAAGGAGTCAAATGCTTTATGAAGATCAATTTTTCAGAGTGCACCTTGGTGATATGGAGTTCCTACTATAACCTTTAACCATCTATTGGGCAAGCATAGTATTATCCACAATGTTTCTGTCTCTGATGAAAGCTGTATGGTTTAAGGAAATGAAATCGGGAAGAACCTCAGTCAATCTTTTAACAAGAATTTTAGAAATAGATTTGTAAATAATTGAACAACATGAAATGGGCCGAAATTCTTTAACAGAACTTGGATTTGGAATTTTAGGAGCTAGAACAACAACAGTATAATTAAAAGCTGGAATTAAAGCTGCATTCGAAAAGAAGTGATTAACCGCAGCAATAACATCATTACCGACAATATTCCAAGATTTCTTGAAGAAAATAGGGGAATAATCGTCCGGACCGGGTGCTTTTTCATTTCCTTGGTCGAAGATGGCATCTTTAATTTCTTATACAGTAATCTCTTTAACAAGGGAAGAAGAAGCTTCGTAGGACAATTTGAAATTAAGAATAGTTTTGATGAAGCTTAGATCAATAGCTTTAACCGAGGGGTCGACAGTTCCAATAAGATTCGAATAGAAGTTAATCATTTCTTTAGCCATAGAGTCAAAGGAATCAAGCCTATTTCCTCTTTCGTCCATAAGAACTCTAATGGTATCCCTCTTGTTTTTCAAGGCCACCATGGAGTGAAAAAATTTAGTATTTTTGTCCCCATTCTTTATCCACTGGATTTTAGCCTTTTGCTTAAGGAATAAACTTTCCGCCTCTTCCAATAGCTTCAACTCATCTTGAATAGCAAATTCATTTTCAAAAGAATCTTCTCCTTTTAGGGAGAGAATTTGTTGTTGCTCTAACTCAATTCTTTTAGCTTTTACCCGATCTGAGATGCTGCTAAAGTTATCCTTATTAAAATGCCTAAGACATTCTTTGAGCCGTTTTAATTTGGAGAAAAAATCCTCATAGGGTCTCCTGAAACATTTTGAATCCAAGATTGTCGAACCACTTCCAAAAATCCATGATGTGTAGTCCAGCAGTTGAAGAACTTAAATGGTTTAAGCCTATTTGCAATAGCAGTTTTAGAAAGCCAGGTAATGGCCATACAATGGTCAGAAACTCCTGGGGCAAGAAATTCCACAAAGGAATATTAAAAGCAGTAGCCCAGCCAAAATTAATCAGGACTCTATTAAGCTTTCTTGCCAGAAAAAATTCCTTCTGTTTGTTACTCCATGTAAAAGTTGGCCCAAAGTAAGGGTGATAGAGTAATTCCATCTCACTGTTGAAATCTTGAAACTCTTTCATATCCATGGTTATATAATTTACAAGCACATCATGATCTGAACTTTCGTGAGCATGCAAAAAAATATTGAAGTCGCCACCTAGAACCCAGGGATCATGATTAACCAAAACACCGACTTCTTTAAGCTGCTGCCATAATTGCCTTCTAGCAATCCCAGCGTTACTTCCATAGATAGCCGATATGAAGATTGAAAATCCAAGATAGGAACCTTTAATAGTTATACTTTGGTCAGCAACATGAATTATAGCAAAATTTAAATCCTTCCTCCACATCACCCATATCCTGCCATTGGTAGCATGGTCGTAATTCGTACATATATTCCAGCTCGAAAATTTGGAGTTAAAGATAGCTTCAGATTTTTCAGATTTGACTCTTGTTTCAAGGAGACAAAGAATATCAATCTTATTTTGTATAGCTCTAAGAATTACTTTATTCTGCTTTAGAGGGCTATTAAGTCCTCTAATGTTCCAAAAGCTAATGATCATTGAAGAAGAGGAGAACCCGAGAACCCTCCCTGACCACCAACCGAGACAATTTTAGCTTTAGTAAGATTTTCCTTCTTTTTTGATTTGAGTTCATTAACCAAGTCAATAACTCCATGAGAAGCAGCTCTAGGTTTTCTAGACAGAATTCCAGTGGTAGGAGCGACCTCATCAACATTAAGTATTCCATATCTATTTTGAGAATCTGTTAAAGAGATCTTTGCCTTTTCCTTAGGCCGACCTCGTCCCTTCTTAAGAACTAATTGCTGGGCAGATTTATCAACCTCAGTTGCTTCAATGAAATCAGTAGATGGAATAGAATTTTCACTCCCAGGAATGGCGTTATCTTCTGATACTGAATTCATTTCTTTTTGCACATTCTGAGGAACAGGAACATCAGGAATTTGAGAAACATCCTGGTTTTCAAATTTTCCTTTATCAACTTGAATAACTTCCTTGTTCAGAGATTCTTGAACTTTTGAATTAGTTATTTCCTGTAGTTCTTCAACTCCACCCAACTGGGAGTCAACCTTTTTAGGAAGATTTTCTCCTTTCTTAACCCAGACTTGAGAAACAGAATGTGTTTCAGAAGATTTATGAAGGCAGCTTTTTTCATTGTGTCCGAACACCATACATCTTATAACACCCCTAACTCATATCCAACCCGAATATAAGTCCGAGGTGTCACATTGACCTTTTAAAACATGTACTTGTATAAAATAGTGAGTAATTTAAAACTTTTATAACATATAAATGACTAATTTACATAAAAGACATTTTCATTATTACAAAACCAATCAGAGCATGTATATTTCACTTATTTATTTATATATAACTATTCGAAACATTTATAAAACTGTTCATAGCTTAAACAATATATTCTTTTGAAAACATGCCAACTAGAACTTTATATACTAAAATACATATTATTCACATCTTTTCTGATTTGACATTTAGTAAGAAGAACTGACCTGTCTTGCTCCACATTGCTCTTTACTCTTCTCGAAACCTACGTGTAAATCACTTACACGCTAAGTCAAAGACTTAGTGAGGCATATAAACATATAAGGTAAACGATAAATAATAATCATACCTAAACGATTACTACTATCATTTCATACCACTCATACTTTTACATGTAACAAATATATGCATACATATATGTCATTATCATTCATATCTCTTATCTCATGTTCCTATGTTCTCTTATGTCCATATCATACAATATATATCATAACCAATTGCACATATACATATCATGTCATGTAAACCATATATATATACTATCATAAAACACGTACACCCAAGCAACTATATTATCATCTTCATTTCTTTCTTATTTTATCACTATCATTGATTCCTTTCATTATATGGTCTTATAAGTTACCATTTGTACAATCAATATCCCACATGAAATTCCACAAGGAAACAAACATATTATCATATCACTTTATTAATATTATCTATTTAATAGCATATGATACACATGTGAGAACTAAAGATATGTGAGTACATAGAGGTTGTGCATTAATGCTGTCACCACAGCTCATATAATTGCACCGAAGTGCCACATATAATTGCACCGGAGTGCCGCGTAGAATTGCACCGTAGTGCCATATAATAATGTCCATAAGGACCACATATCATTCCTTAAGAATCATATACATATACTAGGAATCAAGTATGTGTCTCACCAGACTTCACACATGTTCCAAAGAATACATATATGTCCCGAATGACCACATATCATTCCTTAAGAATCATATAAATATACCAAGGATCAAGTATGTGTCTCACGAGACTTCACACATGTTCCAAAGAATACATATATGTCCCGAAGGATCACATAGACCCTCGACTCTTGGCATGCCAACTATACCCCTAGCTCTCATGACACATAACATGGGCATTATCTTTTATATCCTTTTACATATTCATGTAACCATATCATATATTCATATAAGCTCATGGTTTCATTCACATATACATGTAATCACGTAGTTCATGTCAATTCTCATATGAGTTCATATTCATATAAACATAGGATTCACCCTCATGTATCACATATACTTTCTCATGTGTTCATATGACATGTAAATCATTGTCATCTTATCATGTTATCACATAAACATATCATCTTACAATACATACAAAACACATCAATACCTATATTCACATATATCTATCATTTCATTATCCTTATTATTACTCTTATCATCACCATTAATCCATTTTACGTACCATATTCATATCAATAACACATATACTCATACACACATATAAATCATAACAAATACATACTTCTATGAATTCATGTTTTTCACTATTGGAAATAGACTTATCACAAGTCTTATTTTCCCTTGAACCTCATATACTAGAGAATGTGCACTCACCTTAGCTTTGCTTTGATTCGATTATAATCCTTCAATTGATCCGGAACGGGATCACGTTCTATATCTACATCATCATACATAGATCTATATTAGTATTATAATTAATATACTCTAATGGTTGACTCTTTAGACTAAGAGAAAAGGCAATTTCATCTTTTAATGAAGGTATGCATTGATGCACTACTGATGCATCGGTGCATTAAATGCATTCGATATTGTATTATTACTGGGATGCATCGATGCACTACTTATGCATCGATGCACGAATTGCATTCAATGTATTTATTTTAAAAGAGTGCATCGATGCACTTCCTGTGCATCGATACACCTTCAAACGATTTCTGGGTTTTAACCTTGATGCATTGATGCACTATGAATGTGCATCGATGCACTCTGCCCAGAACCTCTTTTTAAACCCGAAAATTCATTCTTTTTAGATTAAATCCTTCATATTTCAACCCCTTTCATATTCCTAACTTTCATATACATACTTAAACTCATTAATATTCATTTATCTTATCTTTAACCTCAAAATTCCATCTTTCATATGGAAATCAATAATCATACCCAATTTTCCATATTATCCAAACTTAATTCTAACACTTCTAACTTCTTATTCTTATAGATGACAAGTCAAATTCATCTTCCAAATTCATTTAAACCTTCTTATTCAAAATTTCACTTAAAACCCCATTTTCTTTAATCTCCTCTAACCTCTTCATCTTTGAGTTTTCACTTATCTTTAGACTTCTTTAAGCTTTCTTACTTTCCAAAGAATCAAAACCAACTTAGAATTCACATAATAATAAACTAATAAAAATTCTCACCTTTGCTCTTGGCTTCCACGCGTGAAGAAGAAAGGAGAAGAAGAAAACTCTGGAAACTCATTTCCTTCATTTCCCACGTGTAAAATATATATCCCCACTATCACATTTTTTAATTCCTTAAATGACCAAATGACCAAATGACCATTTTACCCTTTAGTTCCTTTAATAATTACTAACAACTTTTAGGACATACTTCCAAATAAATCACTGAACTAATCCATTCTTCTACTTTAGTCACCAAATTCTGAAACTTTACAATTTGGTCACTAACCCATAGTTTGGGATGTTACACATCTCTTACAAGAAGTTGGAAACCAAGGTACCTCTACTTGTATCGAAGTCATTTGCTCGTCTCTTAGAATAACATCAATGAATTTAGGGATGATATCTTAAACCCCAATTTCAATACAAACTTTAGCGAACTCAAGTCTCGATTTTGAAGCAGTTATAGAATCCATTGAAATAGGGACTCCAATGGCACTGGCTATATAACTTAACCTAGCTCGAGAAAACAGTTCTAAGGGGACATTATACAGATTGACCCAAACTGGAATTTTAGACAGATTTAAGCTAAGCCTTTTCATGTTGGGTTCCCATTTTCGGAGGATAATAGGCTTGTTATGCACATGCCAATGACCGTTTTCAAGGATCCAATCACGGGTAGATTCAGACGAGAAAGAAAAAACAAATAGGTTTTTTCCAGCAGTACTAACCTGAATTCGTGAACCCTGAATAGCTTTTCCCCACAAGTTGTCGATGATCCGTTGCACAGAGGAGAAAGAAGGTGGCACTCCAAGGAATTGACCCACGAGAGACAATTTCCATTCTGAAATTCCAAATTCCAGAACCTCTAGAGGGGGAAGAACAGTTGGATTACCTTCACGAGATTTTGGGAGGGAAATAATCAAGGTCGTGGCTTGCTGAACTACCAAACAGTTGTCTCCAATCCATCAGCCAAAACACACTACAATGTTAAGAAACCAGAAGAAGATGATCGGAGGCAGAAAACATAAAGAGAGCGCCGGCGAATCGATAGGAAAACTCAGAAGCCATTAGCCCTGCTAACGTGCACCCAGAGAAAATATACTTTAGCCCTCAATTTTTAACATTTTGTAAAATTACACAGAAAATGATTAAATTATTAAGATTTAAACGATGATGTTGTAGTAGTCCATGTAACAATTCAAATATACTTTATAAAAAATTTAAAGATACGTAGAAATTATTTTAAAGCTTGGGTAAATTATCTATATAGTCACTTGACTATTAATAAGTTTTTAGTTGGTCACTCGAATTTAAATTGGCATTCATAATATTTTTTTAAAATTTGACCTAACACAAGGGTTTTAAAAGTATTTCAATTTTGAGTATCATGAGATACTTTAATTTTCTTTACGCGTAATCATTTCTCGAATCCAATTTTATTTTGACTTTTGTTAAGAACTATTATGCAAAACTAGCAAAGAAAAACCAGCAGATTGATGATTACGAGGGTTGGAGAAGAAATTAAGAGAAGGAGATGAATTATAGAGAGAAGAGTAAGGAGGAGAAAAGTATTTTGATTAACAATTTTCAATGCCTCCACATTCTGTTACATCCATTTTCTTATAAACAGTTGATTAAAAACGCATGAATTCATCCAACATCCATCTTCTTGACACGTGTTCTCTTGGACAGCTGTAATGGTTATAACCGTTGATCTGACTGCTTTTTTCTGGGTCCCTTATCATAACAATTTTCAATGCAAATTTTCAAAATTATATTTTCAAAAATGTTTTTTTTTATAATTTTTAAAAGATAATTTTATAAATATTTAATTGTATATAATCTAAAAGATGATGACTCTGTTTCATAAAAATAGATCCATATTTTAGCAAGGAAAAAAATCAAAATAATACACAATTTTAATAATGTAAAAAAATTATTATTATTCGAAATTAAATCAGTTCTAGCACCCAATTTCATTTTAGTCTTTTTTTTACATTTTTAAGCTTATTCTATTAATTAATACACGATTAACATTCTAAAATAAAAGTATTTTTTTAACCTAAAATCAAACGTTGAAGATTAAAATACAAAAAAATAAAGATAAAGTAATCACTTCATCAAATGTTGCAATTTTTTTTATCCTAAAACTAAAAAAAAATAACATAAAATAAATTATCATTTTGATAAATATTGAGGGCTAACTTCGAAATTATGCCATTTCAAAATGATCAATAACCATTTATTCACAATAGAAGAATAAGAAAATTAGGGGGGTTTGACTGAATTCCCGCCGATAAACAAAACAAAGAAGAAAATTGGATTTACACCAAAATCAAACAACAATACATTACTGTAATATTTTTAACCAAAAAAATGCATTGCAAATTATGTGATGCGTATACGATTCCCCATTTCCACAACCACCAAATGCAAGCAAAAAAACCCTAATCTTTCGTATTATTTTGTTTTCTTCTACCAACACTGATCGGTCTCCCATCTTCCGATCGGGTACACCCAGTTACCGACACGCCTCGCACGTGCCCCCAACGACATATCGTATACGGCTCTCGCCGTCGGATCCGACAATGTCGCGTAGGCGTTGCGTATCTCTATGAAATCTCCGCCGTCCGATTTGGATCCCATCGCGTCGGGATGGTACACCTTGGCCAGACTCCGGTACGCCATCTTGATCTCGTTCAACGACGCCGTTCTCTCCACCTTGAGTATCTCGTACAAACTCCCCGCCAAGTTCCTGACGGTGGCTGACTTAAACGACGCCGCCTGCGCCGAGTTCCTGACGGTGACGGTCTTCTTCACGGAGAAACTGTGGATGGGTTTAGCGACGAGAGGGGAAGGGAGGGTTGCATACATTGGGGGAAAAAGAAGGGCAAAACGGTAGAATCAGGAGGTTTGGAGAGAGGAGAAATGAAAACAACAGGACGAGTGATCCGGGTGAATGTATTTATATAATAATGAGGGTCAAATGCTAAAAAGGGATAAAATTGGAAATTGAGAAGAAAATATATGGAGAATGAAGTAAAAAAGAGAGAAAAACGGTGTGTAGTGTGGTGTATTTATTTTTGTCTGTTGGTTTTGCCTTTGGATTCTAATCAGGGTGCTTATAAAACGTGTGGATCGGATCGTGAGTTATAAAGTATTCGATTCGTGTTCGTTAAAAAAAAATTATGTTCGACTCGTTGTTCGTTAAGCTCGTTAAAATTGTGTTCGACTCATGCTCGCTAAAAAATTTTACTGCTCAACTCGACTCGTTACTCGTTAAAATTGTGCTCGACTCGTGCTCATTAAAAAATTTTGATACTCAACTCGACTGATTGCTCGTTAAACTCAATAAAAATTTACCTTATTTTTTTATCTAAAAATAAAATTTACTAATACTATACAATATCAATGATATTAGGTTGGGTTTTTTGTATTAAATTAATATTATTAATTAATAATATTTTATTATTTATTAAAAAATAATAGATTAGTTAACTTCTTATTTTTTTATTATTTATTAATAAATTAATAATTATTATTTAGATTTATTTTTTGAATGAAATAATTTTGAAGTAATTATTAAAAATATATTTTAAAAAATTAACGAGCTGTTCACGAATTTATCGAGTCGAGTTAGACTTTACTCGACTCAACTCGGCTCGTTAATATCTCTAGTCGAGTTCAAGTTCAAGTCGAGCCAACTTAAGCCAAATGTTTACCAAATTTTAATCGAATTAAACTCAAACTGCTCGACTCATTAAACATCCCTAATTCTAACATCATCGATTTACTGTCTTCAGTTTTTCTTACTTGGAAAAGCTTCTGGAAGATTTAGTTTATGAATTCATTGCCATATTTTTTATTCATTTCCTTTTCCGGCTACACTAGGCTGTACTTTAGGGATGATAAAAAATTCGAACTCGATGGGGAAAACTGAAAATCGAATTAAATGGGTCGGGTTCGGAGATGATAAACGGGGACGGAGACGGGAAAAATTCATTTATTTTAAACGGGGACGGGGACGGGTTTGGTAATCCCCGCCCCGATTACCCGATTACCCGACGGGGATCCCCGTTTAAATCCCCGTGGTTTTTTAAATGGGGACGGGTATCAATTTTTAAAACGAGGACCGGAACGATAGAACTAATACCCGGCCCGAACCCGGCCCGTTGCCATCCCTCCTGTACTTTACCTTTTGTTTTTGCTGATGACAGGTTACTTATTCAATGAAACAAGGTTTTATTCTACCCCAATGGTCCCTATACTTTTATCGAATTCCAAATTTTAATCCTTGTATTCTATTTTGTAAATATATTTTTGGAATTTAAATTTTACTCTAACTCCTTATGTCAATTTTTTATTTTTTTAACTTTTCTATTCACTCAAGTTTTTAACCTTTTATAAAACACGCCTAAACTTCCCTAAACATCTTATTTAACCCTCGAATTCCTATTTAATCCGTCCAACTTCGTTATTATTCACATTAACCTCAAATTCCAAACTTCAAAAAATCTAAAGACTTAATTAAAAAAAGAATTTTAACTTGGTATATGAGATGAGATAGTCATGGTTGTATTCAAATGCAAATTCATACACAAAACGGTGACAATGACGATTATTTACAAATCGAGTTACAACACAAACCAAGCGATCTCGGTAGTAAATGAATTGTTACTATTTTTGGAGGTTCTTAGTTCGAGCACAATGAATATCAGAAGTGTGAGTGTTCAATGTAAAATGATTGAGAGTTATCTTTGAACAAATACTGCATTTTACTTACCCGTATTAATTAAAAAATGTCGGGCTGCAATTTGAAAAAGCAATTTTTTATTTGAATTATTTTTGTGTGTAAAAACTATAATTTGATAGAGTAATGTTTCATTAGTTTAGGATAGTAAAAGTAAGTTAAATGGATCAAACCACGTCTAAAACTTGATATTAATTTATACTATCTGAAAAATAAATTACTAAAATTGATCTAACTAATATTTATACATTTTTTAATTAAATTGAAGTAAAATAACGTTATTATTGTTTTTTTAATGTAATATTGTTATCATTAGCTTATATCACATATAAGTACCTGTTTTGTTTTTGTTAAAGTAAATATTAAAGTTATCATTTTGGTCGAAATATGTATTTAAAGTATTTTTGGTTAAAATATGTATTTAAAGTATATTATATTTTTCAATTAAACACCTAAAACATTCTTTAATTAATACTATATATTAACTTTTTAGAACTTAGATGAAAAATATCGAATATTTTAGTTACCTATTTTGACCAAAAAATACTTTTGATATTTATTTGACAATTAATGTTCAAATATCCTTACAGACGATGTGCTCAAACTCATGACCTCTAAGAATATAACTATTTTTTTAACCACTGAAATTGTTTGAACAGAACGATAAAAAATAAATACAAAATTTGATAAAAAAAATACTTTAAATACTTAAATAAAAAATAATATATTTTAAATACTTGTTTATAATATAAATTTTTATTATTATTATTTTTAATTATTATTATAGGGTAATAAATTGGTTGAATTTGAATGAATGTGGGCGCATGGTTTCACTAACCAAGAGGCGCGCGGCTAAGCTGATTAAGCTTGACGTGGAGCCGAGGGGAAGCTTAAAACTCCTCCGAAAATAAATTTAACGTCAAATCACAACTGATATATAATTAATTCAATGCCCAACCTTCTTTAATTATCTTCATCGGATAATAGTATATTTAAATAAAGTTTAGAAAGTGTGCAATTTAATAAATTTTAATATTTATTACAAAATTGTTCCTAGTAAAATACTCAAAAAGAAATAGCTTGAATTTAAAATTTAATATCAGTTAAAAATAAAAAATATTTTTCTATTCACGTATTATAAAAATGTATTTATATTAAAATTTTAAAATAAATAATTTTAGTCTGTGGAATTAATGGGATGGTAAACCTACCTTCCGGATCTAATTTTATATGTTATGAATCAAGTTATCATAAATAAAGGATAGGCCTAAGGGTCCCATGGCCTGACTTTTTGGTTATTTGACATAATTGACACAAATTTTCTTTAATATTCTCTTTCTGACATCGCTTGACCAATATTTCTCGAAGTAGCACATTTTCTGCTGAGCTGGCAAAGGTGCGTCCCCGGGGACGCGCTTTACCCGTGTTTTCGCTGAGTTGGATGCCACGTGTGGAAGGCGCATCCCCGGGGACGCGCCTTTCGCCAGCTCGACTGCCACGTATTTTGTTTAATAATAAATATTTTATTTTTATTATTATTATTATAAATTAATAATATATTATGTAAAATGTTTCGATTATAATGTAAGAATTATCAAATGTATTTTGTTAATGTGTGTTAAAGGTGGAGTGAATTATCAAAATAATAACTATTTAAAAAAATACTAACATAAAAATAAATTTCTTACCACTAATAACAAATTTAAAACTCAAATAGTTAGAGAATTTGAGTTATATAAGAGATGAGAATATGATTTTGGTGTGAAGAATGAGAGAGGGTTGAGGGGGTTTATATAGGGAGGAGGAGGGGTAGTTAAGAAAAACGGATGGGGGCATTTATGGCATTTAATTGAAGGCGCGTCCCCGGGGATGCGCTTTCCACACGTGGAAGTCGAGTCAGTGAAGGCGCGTCCCCGGGGATGCACCTTTACCAGCTCAACAGAAAGGATGCTACTTCGAGAAATATTAGTCAAACAATATTAAAAAGAGAATATTAAAAAAAATTGGTGTCAGTCAAATAGCCTGACTTTTTGAGATGACCTAAATAAGAGCATGTGCCATGGTTTCTAGAAGACTAATAAAACATTTCACTTTATTTTCCCTCTGAATTTATTTATTTTATCGAGTTAGATATTGCAGTTGTAGACAATGTTTTAATTGTTATTTGGAACATATTCAGATATCAATGGTCAAATTTTATAACCTGAAAACGGCTCTACTTTTTATAGATACTCAATGGGACTTGGATATTCTTTCTGAATAATGAAAATTAAATTTTATTAATAAAAATAATGAAATGAATCAAAATTATAACGCATCTAAATATTAAGAGAAAGATAGGTACAATAGTCACACAAAAATTCATACATAAAATAAAAATATTAGATCAAAATATACGATGAAAAAGGAGACACTCCATTATGAATTACATCAAACATCAAAAGAACTTAATAAATTTTATAAAATTAATTGTCTATGCAGAATGAGACACTTTACGAAATGATAAAAAAGTTGTGAGCGAAACGAAGAACTTGGCAGAATGTTTCGCTACATAATTCTGATTATATCGACAAACAATCTTTTATCAAATAAGAGATCCGATAATATATTACCACTGAAAAACTAATCAAAAAACAAATATTGTGAGAGTGTTTGTGCAAGCACAAAACACGACCGTAATGGTATGCGAAAAATATATCAAAAGGAATAAAACATGCCACAAGAGCATAGAAGAAATGTACCACAAAAGCAAGAAAAATGTGTCATACAAAAAAAAGATTTTTATTTAAAATTAAAAAAACTCAATGGGATTTTGATATTTAAATTTATTATTTGTTATTTTGATATATTAAATTTATTAAATTTAAATATAATTTTAATTAATTAATTAATTTAAGTCAAATATAATAATACTTAAATTTAACGTAGAAAGATATTTATATTTAAAATATTTTAAAAAGTAATTTTATCATTCTTATACATATGGTTAAATTTATAAAATTGATTTGTATTTAAATCTTTAAATGAATAAAATGAAATATAGATATAATTAAAAATAAATAAAGTAATAAAAATATTTAAAGATTTCTTTCCTAGACGGAAAGTTATTAATATCTCCACATTAATTGTTGTACGGATAGGAGTCCTATTGTATTTGAAAGTCCTTGTAGCAT